TATTCTTGTGTTATTGCTACAGAAGAATATTTATTTTATTATTTTACATTTACAATTTTTTTTTTCCCCGAGGACCCTGTTACACCCCATTGAAGAGCCGTAGGGGGTTTGTAAGGCCATGTTACTCCTAAATTTCTATCTTGTTCAAAGAGAAGATATAAAACAAAGTTCTAAGCTAATCGACCTTAGTGTTCTCCTTTTTTAAAAAGAATCGATGAGAGAATCGATAAAGACTCGAATTGTTAAACAGAATTGAAAATGAAATCGGAATCGTGAAAATCTTATCAATACCCATCCCTACTCACCATTGTTGAACTTTGGAAGTAAGTAAGGTTTATTTAATAGACAGGCAGTCACAAAGCGCTATACACAAATGTTAAAATATGGAAAATGTTAAGTAAAATAAAATAGATATAAACAATGCAAATTCAAAACAATTCAAAAACATTGATTAAAAGAAGGCCTGTTTAAACAAAAAAGTTTTTTAACTGCTTTTTAAAGGATTCCACAGAGTCAACCAAACGTAGTTGTGGTGGTAGACTGTTCCACAGCCGTGGTGCCAAAGACTGAAAGGCTCTCTCCCCTTTCGTCTTCGCCATTTAGTGCTCTATATGTTGAAACAAGAATTTGAAAACGGATTCTAAAATCTATTGGGAGCCAATGTAAAGAATATAAAATGGGAGCAATGTGAGCACGTTTACTAGAACGTGTTAGTAGCCTGGCCGCTGCATTTTGTATCGTTTGGAGGCGAGAAAGAGATGATTTGCTCAAGCTGGTAAACAGGGCATTACAATAATCTAAACGTGATGACACAAATGCATGAACATTTTTTTCTAATTCAGCTGATGAAACCATATGTTGGAGTTTAGAGAGGTTCCTTAAATGAAAGAAACAAGGACGAAACAAAGACTTTACATGTGAGTCAAGGCCCAGAGAAGTATATATAACTCCATGATTTTGAATATTTGAGTTGTGGTTATTTTTGTGTTACCTGCAGCAAAGGGCTCTAAACTTCCTAAACCTAATAACTGGTTGGGCCACCCTTAGCAGCAACAATTGCAATCAGATATTTGTGATAACTGGCAAAGAGTCTTTTACTGCACTGTGGAGAAATTTTGGCCCACTCAACTTTGCAGACTTGTTGTAGTTCACTCTCAAGTATTCATTTTGTTTTTCTTAAGCCATTCAGAGGTGGACTTGCTGGTGTGTTTTGGATCATTGCCCTGCTGCAGACCCAAGTATGCTTCAGCTTGAGGTCATGAACAGATGGCCGGACGTTCTCCTTCAGGATGTTTTGGTAGACAGCAGAATCCTTGGTTCCATTTGCCACAGCAGGTCTTCCGGGTCCAGTTTTTCACTCAGGGCCATGTAGCTTTGGGTTTTACTTCCCCTTATTAAATAACACTTTCATTTAGAAATTGCATGTTGCGTTTACTTGTGTTATCTATATCCAATATTGACATTCGTTTGATGATCTGAAACATTGAAAGGTGAAAAACATATAAAACATTTGGAAATCAGGAAGGGGGCAAATGTTTTTTCATACCACTGTGTGCAGTAGTGATGTGTATGAGTGAAAGGGGATATTTTTAATATCCAGATATGTGATTTGAGTTTTCTTGTGCCTTTGTTGCCTAAGCCACAGGCTGGACTCTCTGACTTGAAATCAGATCTCAAGTAGGAGAGTGTCACGGCCAGGCGGATCAGCTGCACGCTGATCAGCTCTCTCTCTCTCTCTATCGCCGGGGCTGAACTCACTGTGGGTTCATGCCCTCGGCCCACGCCCTCGACAGATGAGACACCTGGGTCTCATTAAGACGATCAGCATTTAAACCAGGAGGCGACTGCTGTTCATCGCTGGATCGTTGTCTACCACGCGTTAGTGAAGTCTCAACTGTTTCCTTCCTGGGCCACATCATCGATCATGGTAACCTCAAAACGGATCCCGCAAAAGTTCAAGCCGTTTTTGACTGGCCGACCCCTTCTAACCGTAAACAGCTCCAAAGCTTTCTGGGGTTCGCAAACTTTTATCGTCACTTTATTCGCGACTACAGTAAACTTGCCCTTCCTCTGACCCCTCTTACTTCTCCCAAGGTTCCCTTCTGCTGGGATGAGCTGGCTCTACAAGCATTTGTCCATCTGAAGGACCGCTTTACCTCGGCGCCCATTCTCGTCCAACCCGACCTCAACCTGTAGTTCATCGTGGAGGTGGACGCCTCGGATGCTGGAGTGGGGGCGGTGCTTTCCCAGCAGCAAGGTGGTAAGCTTCATCCCTGTGCCTACTTTTCACGCCGTCTCACCTCCGCAGAGAACAACTATGATGTGGGAGATCGAGAGCTACTAGCCATCAAGCTAGCGCTGGAGGAGTGGCGCCATTGGCTGGAGGGCGCTGCTCAACCATTTGTGGTATGGACCGACCACTAGAACCTGGAGTACATTCGATCGGCAAAACGCCTCAACACCAGGCAAGCCAGGTGGGCCCTGTTTTTTACTAGATTCCAGTTTACTATCACTTACAGACCCGGTTCCCGTAACGTCAAGCCAGACGCCCTCTCACGCCAATTCACCGCCTCCGAAGACGCAACTCGGGACTCTCCCATTCTACCGCCCACCTGTGTAATTGGGGTCCTGACCTGGGAGATCGAGTCAGCCATTAGAGAGGCCCAACAGACTGAACCAGACCCTGGAACGGGACCTCCAGGATTGCTCTACGTGCCCTCTTCAGTAAGGTCACAAGTATTACATTGGGCTCATATAGCCAGATTCACCTGCCACCCAGGGGTCCACCGCACTATTTCCCTCCTTCAACGTTTCACCTGGTGGCCATCCCTCGCCAAAGATGTCCGCGAATATATCTCTGCATGCCCGACCTGCGCTCGAAACAAGAGCGGCCATCAACCACCCTCGGGCCTCCTCCGACCTCTGCCGACTCCGAGCCGTCCCTGGTCACACTTCGCTATTGACTTCATCACCGGCCTGCCTGTCTCGTCAGGTAACGCTGTCATTCTCAACATTGTGGACTGTTTCTCCAAAGCTGCTCATTTTATCGCTCTCCCTAAGCTTCCCACTGCCCTAGAGACCGCCCAACTACTAACTAACCATGTTTTTCGCCTCCATGGAATCCCTTCGGATATTGTGTCAGACCGAGGACTGCAGTTTACATCACGTGTCTGGAAGGAGTTCTGCAGTGCCCTCGGAGCTCAGGTCAGTCTTTCCTCCAGTTTCCACCCACAGACCAATGGCCAAACGGAGCGTACCAACCAGGAGCTCGAGGCGGCTCTCCGGTGCCTGGTATCCACTAACCAGTCAACCTGGAGCGAGCAACTGTCGTGGATTGAATATGCTCATAACAGCCTTACCTCTTCTGCCACCGGTGTGTCCCATTTCGAGGCGTCTCTGGGCTACCAACCGCCACTCTTCCCAGCCGTCGAAGGTGAGCAGTTTGTCCCCTCTGTTCAACAGCATCTCCGGAGGTGTCGGCGCGCCTGGAGAGAGAGAGTTAATTATAACAACTGCCCACCCATCAACAGTTCATAACCCCTTGCATTTCATTCATTTAAAAACCTTTTAAAAAGACGTCCTAATATCATAGCTGACACTGATAGTACACCATATTAATTTTGTATTTTTTTAACTTTACATTACAAATTGATTTGTGGCATTATAAATCTGCTACACACCATTCTCTTAGTGTTTTGAATGATATTATAAGGGAAGAACTGCCATAAGGATGTTAGCGGCTGTGGAACAGGTTAGGATATTAGGATAATTAGGATAACCCTGTATTATTATTTTTAAATATAAAAAAAAAACCCCACACATTATGCGAGAAAAGTAAAAACAAACCACAATAATCATCTTCTTTTTCTAAATTACAAGAGCAAGGAAATTATAATTAAAGCATATTTCTGTCTTACGCTACAACAGTCACAGACTGGGGGAGTTTCCTTGGAGATGACTACCTTCCAGTTTGTGATCATTGCTGGTTTTTACTTGATCTGGATTTTTTCTCCCCTGATCTGCCATCTGAACTGAAAATTACTGCCAGACCAGATTTTTGCTGGCTTTTGTGATCTGAGATCAAAACACAGACTGGACTTGGCATCAAAGCCACAATTGTAGAGCTGAAAGGAAGCTGGTTAATATCCAGTGCTATCAAACTGCACAGAATTACTGTGGGGAAGCAGAAAAGAGGTTTCACAACATGTTGACCTACATACACTTAAGCTACCACACAAGAGATGGCAAATAAATTATTCACTGAAGTGGTTGAAAGGACATATATGTTGTTGTCTGTCAACAAAAAAATCTATACACTGTATTATGAAATCCAAGTACCTCATGACCCTGTATTATCCACTATGTCAATATGCAGTAGGTGTGGAAAAGATTAGAAAATTCTAAATGATGGATTGGTGCAGTGCAGCTTGTGAGTCCCTCACTGGTCCTCTCTTATCGATCGGCCCCTTTCAATAGCCTGTATAGCCTATGATAGCTTTTAACGCTGTTCACTGTGCTTTTACCACCTTAAGTGTGCGACATTGTTTTTGCATTACAGTGTAAATGAGATTGTTTTAAATTAGTCACATTTGTGAAGATTTTGCTCATACAAAAGGCTGCATGGTCACAAGTATGTTTTCCTCAAGGTCACTGATAAGAGTACTGCAAGATGAAATCAAGATGTACAGGTGGCTTTGTGTGTCAGCAGCACTGAGAGGTAGGGGATAATACAAATGAAAACAACAGTTCATAAAGGTTATGAAAGAACGTAGCATTGTCTTGCCAGATATATTGCACTTTAACTGCTTTAAACTGTGTTGTATCCCTGTTTTATTTTTCTTCCTGTAGGCATGTACCATGTTCCAGTTCTGCTTTTCCTTCACACTGTGCATTATTGAGTTGCCACCCCAGCCACGTGGTCCAATCAGGGTGCCCCAGCTCACTATCTCACCTACCTAAAGAAGCAGCTAAGCTGTTAGCTATGGTGGTTGTGATTTTATTTTAGCACCTTGTTGCCTCTCTCTATTTTTAATTAGAGGTCTGTACCTTGTTTTACATTTGCTGCAGTGGTATTCTTTTTTTGTGAGTCATTAACGTAGCAAACTTGTAGGTGTGGGCTGAAATCCTTGACTCCCACCTTTTATGTGCTGGTTTGCTTTACAGACTGAAAGGTTCTTTCTTGCACCTGTGAAGAGCCTCTCTGGCCAAGCCTCAAGCCTAGATTACACCTTCCACCATACCATGGATCCTGAAGGTTTGTCTAATTAGACACATTTTGGTTGTAGGAGTGCTGCCTTAAGTGCTTTTGGTTTGTCACTGTAGTTTAGGTATGTTACCTTGTTTGTTGGTTGTTATTAAATCACAGATAAAGCAGACGGAACCTGCAAAGAACTCAAAGTCAGTAAAAAAATGTTTTATTTATTTATTTAATTATTTTTTGTAAAATTTTGTTTGCATATAATACTTGTGAATAGTTTGTGTGTTGGGAAGCAATTTTCTAGGGTTTTCTTAAAAGTCTTATTTCATTGTATTTACTACCCGGTAGTACTTGGCCTGCACCACTACACTAGCTCGAGTGTCTGTCCCCCTTCCTTCTTGCACATCATGGTATGTTCCTAGTCCGTCTTTGCATATCACTGGCTACATGGTGTGCTTATGAAAATGAAGTCCCGCCCTGGCTTACGTGGTTTTCCAGCAGGGCAGAGAATAGCTGTTTGCTAAAACGAATTGGCACTTAGAGCTAGCTTGTTCACAAACAACACATCACTAATTTGGTCTGGAGTTTGGACTCATTTGTTGACTGATGTTTTAGTTCCTGTCTTGAGTTTTACTGTCACCCTGCGATGTTATTGATTGTTTACACCTGTGTCTCATTTCCCAGATGTTTTCACTTCCCTGATCAGCCATGTGTTTATAAATTGTCCTGTCTTCCCCTCATCCTTTGTCACAGAGCCTGTTATGGTTGTCTTTTGTTGGTTTCCCCATTTGTGGTCATCTGTAATAGGCAATCTTTCTTTAGGCTCATGAATGAAATTTATCTTTTTCACATTTTGTAGTTTTGTTGTGGACTCTGTTCTTCCAGTCTAACAAATGCCAAGTCTGCCTCCAGGCTTCTGCATTTGGGTCCAAACTTTGCACTTGTACGGTATGTTATGGCAGTTTCTTTTGATCAAGATTCACTTGGATCACCATCCTTGTATCATTTTGAACAGCAGTGGCAATTTATAAGAATTAGTAATGATGCAGATAAGAGGGAAAGTTCAGATCTAAGTCTCATTCTTTTCTGCTTGCTTCACCCATGACTACCCATAATACCTAAAAATGAAGAGCTGACTCCTCACTTAGAGACATCTTTTGATTACACTGATGATATTGAATTTTCAGTTATTTATTTGAATTATAACAGCATAATGAAGAGGAGGAAAATTAATGATAAGGACCACCTTTAGCTCAGAGTATCAATTTTCTTGCATGCATAATTAAATCAATTCCCTATAGAGCACGCTCACTCTATACAGAGGCACAAAGATATGATTGAAGGGAAAATGGGAAATGAATGTAGCAAGACTCTGAAAATGCATGTTGTCACCTCAGAAGGGTCCCCAGTGGCGCTGTGTAATATTTTGTCGTCTTTAATGAAAGTCACCGCTTGCCGATGAAATGGCAGAAATGGGACAAAGTCATTGACTTTGTGAGTGATGAGTCATATATGCTAAGACTGGAGAGAATTTATTTAATTGAAGGAAATATTCAGTGAGGTCACAGTTCACAGCTGGGTTTTTTGTGTTTTGTTTTGTTAGTTGCAGATGTGTATTTGACTGTGTCAAACAGGATTTTGCTATAGGATAACTGGACAAACTTCAGTCAGATAGTCAGATATTTTCATATTTCAATTTTTCCTTCAAATTAAGACATTTTGTGTGTCTGCAGCCACCTAGAAATCTTCTAATGTCTGGCCAATTTCATTTTCCAATTTTTGTTTTTATTTTACAAAACCAGCCTAGATACTGGTTAAAAATTTAATAAAAATACTTTTGTCATCATTATATAGTTATACACAAATTCCTTGATTCTCTGAAAATGATTATTTGGAATAACATACTGCGTCAAAGGTTTCTCATACTGACTGCAGTATCAAATATGTTCTGTTCTAAATGTTGAGGAATAATAATTATGCCAGCTACCCCAATAACAAGCAACTACTACTGCTACTACCACTTCTAGCGGGTTCTCTCAATATAAAATAAAAACATATTTAGATACTGAGGACTTTTGATGATGTCCTACCTAAAGGGAGAAGATGTTGGAGATTTATTTGAGACTGTCCTTGTCATAAAATCACTGTTTCTTTAGATACTTTTAGTCTAGTTTCATTAATGTCACATGATAAAGGGAACTACATTTCAAAAAGAATATGTACACAAGATCTGATTTAAATGGAGACATACGATGAGACAGAGTGAAGAGGTGGAGGAGCCAGGAAAGTAACAGAAAGAAAACATGCCAGCTGACTGCATCAGTTAAGCTCATGTGGTCAGACATGAGCATGTAAGATGGTTCATAGCATAACGTGTAACATCTTGACTTCAATAATGAAGCAGTCTGTCTTTTCATAAATTAAATGTCCTTTCATCATCTTGTTTTTGTATTTATTTATTTTTTAATTGAGATTTTTCTTTGGACACAGACTACATAACTTTTTTTTTTCATGTGAGATCCATTCAACCAGTGCTTAATCCCCCATTCCTTTCATGCATAGCGAGAAAGATCATTTGAAAAATAGCATTCAATTAACAATTAAATTCTTTGTCGAAGGGCATCCTGATGGTAGCTATTCACTGAAAATTTCTCTTTTAATTTCGACATGTCACTAGAATTTTGTTACAAGAGCCTAAAATCTCAAGGCTGTTGCTCAAAAAAAAAAGAAAAGAAAAGAGAAACTATATCAAAAAACACTGTATGGAAAAGCATGTGTGTGCCCTAAATCAGTCAGTTACCAGAACATTAATGCAGTGAACATTAATGCAGTCATCAGAGGGACAAAGAAACTCAATAGTGAATATTTAAAAGCTGTGTGCAGGTGCTCTGTGGTCCAGCCTGGGGTTTGATTGGCGGATTATTACTCAGGTGTGTGAGTCAGTGATACATGAAGGACAGCAAAGCCTCAGTCTTACCCTCCTTTGATGTGCACAGCAAAAGGCTCATTAACTTCAGTCACATACCGCCAAAGCTGTGATGATTAGCATCATACTATTATCCACACCTGAGGCCCAGATGGCTAAAAAGTGTCAAACTTTCTCGCTTCCAACTCTTGACCTCCTCATCAGCATTCTCAAAGCTTGCCGGTGTTCTCTCTTCCCCCGCCACTTCCTAACAGACAACCCTGGAAGGTCACCCAAGAAGTTCATGTTCATCATCTGTTGATGTGATAAAGGTTAATAAAAAAATAAAAATAAAAATGTGCTACTACGAAGGCATTCAGGTCGAGCTGGCTCTCTTGGGCTTCTGTTTTGTATTCCATTAAGGCACTTTAATTTTCTTTGGAATGACATTCAACTTTTGTGTTTTCACTTTCAAACTACCAATTAGTTGAGCCATGTTTGATGTAGGGAGCACGGAGGTATCTCGAAGACTAATTTATGTGCGACAGATTTGCTCTATCAGCTGACATTACTGGTCATGGATGACAACTCGAGTTAATTGAATATTTGGATGTGACAGTCAGGAAAAGAGCATGCGCGGTAAAAATGACACTGCATTTCAGACCGGACCAGAGTCTGTGTATCCTTCTTTCGCTCACTGGCAACTTCATTGGGTATACCTGTTTAACTGTTTGTTAACATATAATGAACCAATCACATTGCAGCAACCCATTTTGGCATGTAGACATGGTCACGAACTAACAGAGCATCAAAATTGGGAAGAAAGGCATGGTTGTTTGTACCAGACAGGCAGGTGTGAGTGTTTCAGAAACTGGTGACCTACTGTGATTTTCTGCACAAAATACACATTGAGCTTAATTCTTTTTGTGGAAATGCATTGTTGATGTCAGAGGTTAGAGAAGAATTCCCAGACTGCTGCGTGCTGACAAAAAGGGCAGCAGTACCGCAAAGACTATGACTTTGAATCTTGATTGTCAAGTCATCCATTTCCATCCCTTAAAGAGATGGGTCACATAGGGATGAGTCATGCACAGAAAAATGAGTTCAGTGTAGTCTAATGGCCTTCATAGTCACCAGATCTCAATCCAATGGATTCTCATGGATGTGCAACCAAAAATCTGCAGCAACTGTTTGATGCTATTGTTTCAATGTGAACCAAAATCTCTCAGGAGCATTTTTGTTGTTTCACCTTTTTGAATTGATTCTATGAAGATGCATTTCACATGGGTTCTTCCAACCCAGGACTATCAACCTGTAATTGATGAATTGGCCAGTGAAGCTATATCAAAAAAGACTTGCATCTGCCTAAGCTGTTGTGAAAATAGACTCTACAAATAAAGTGCATCTGGAAAGTATTCACTGCTTCACTTGTTCAAAGACAAATTTAATGCCCCAATGAGCACAGTGGCCTAAATTTTGGAACCAACAGGACTGTTCCAAGATCTGGGAGCCCAGACAATCTCAGCAATTGCATTAGAGTGGGCCTTAGTCAGGGTGGTGACCAAAAACTCGATCGTCAAAGGAGCTTGCAAAGAAAAGCGTCTGGACTTCTTTAAGTTGCTTGAAGACGTTTCACCTCTCATCCGAGAAGCTTCTTCAGTTCTAAGGTCAAATGGTGGAGAGTCCCAGATATAAACCTAGTGGGAGTAACCCCCCCACAGAGGAACAAAAGGACCCCCTGATGATCCTCTAATCGCCTGAGCCAAGGTGTGAAACTGGGTGTGGGTCCCAATCAGTCACAGTTTCGGGTGTGTTCATTGTGAAACCTGGCCCCACCTTATCATGCGAATTCCTGAGGTCAGATGGCCCAGGATGTGAGTGGGCGTTATGGCGTCTGGGAAGGGATCTCAAAACTGGATTATAGATGGCAGAGAGTTGGTGTCGTAAACCCCCGCCTCTGTTCAAAGATGGTCGCTCACAGTGGACATAGATGGCTTCTTTCACTCCTCTTTCAAACCATCTGTCCTCTCTGTCCAAAATGTGAACATTGGCATCCTCGAAAGAGTGTCCTTTATCCTTAAGATGCAGATGGACTGCTGAGTCTTGTCCTGTGGAGGTGGCTCTTCTGTGTTGTGCCATGCACTTGTGAAGT